CTAATCAATTAAATCTATTTTGTTTGATCATTTCAGTTTTCAGGAATGAGCTGAGCTTACCTTGTCTTTTGATAGCGTATCTGGAGGCGACATTACTTCAGGCTGCACATAGTTCTTTCCCCGATAAAAGACTATGCTGTTGTTGGGTTTAATATCAATCACAATGCCTTTACTCAACCGAGCAAGTTCTTCAGCATATTCATGAACCTGCCCAGGCTTGCAAGGCTTGCAAATAACTTTGACAGTTTCATGCTTCTTCCAATGCAAATGCATATTAAGAACAACTCCACCAAAGACTCCTCGCCTCCCCAACAGAACAAAGTTCTTCTTTTTCTCCCCTGTACGCTTCAAGTAGTGCTTCTCCTCTTCAGTAAGAATTTCAGGATCATAATTTTCAAGAACAGATTTTGGAACCTCGAATTTCCTCAACTTCTCAATCAGCCACGCTTCTTTCCTTTTGGCCTACATATATCATTTGATCCTTCAAGACATTATAAGATCAAACAACTTATTGGTTCATAAGAACAAATGATCACTAGGAGGTCCAAGAACAGTTCAATTGGTCCTAAATATTAATTCAAAATTCAACAGAACCTTGAAAATTCACTAGCATTGTGTTGAAGGCATAAAAATCACATAAAATGTTTTTCTCTTGGCGCTTGCTTTGAAAGTTTTGTATGAAATACTTATTTTTGTTTAATATAAATGATTCTTATTGAAAAGAAACGATTTTACATGAAACTTTAAGTTAAATTTTGACGACAATTACTGAATATTATGGATTATTAGTCATACATGGTCGATACACAGAATAAACTTTCATAGTTGTACAAACGTGTCAAGCAGAATAAGTCAGAGAAAAAGTGGTTATTAGCTGTAACAACCCAAGTCTACCGCTAGCAGATATTGTCCCTTTTGGGCTTCCCCTCAAACTTTTTAAAACGCATCTGCTAGAGAGAGGTTTCCACACCCTTATAAAGGGTGCTTTGTTCTCCTCCCCAACCGATGTGGGATCTCACAATCCTCCCTCCTTTGGGGCCCACCGTCTTTGCTGGCACACCTCCTTGTGTCCACCCTCTTCGAGGCTTAGCCTCCTCGCTGGCACATCGCCCGGTGTCTGGCTTTGATACCATTCGTAACGGTCCAAGCCCCTGCTAGCATATATTGTCCTCTTTGGGCTTTCCCTTTCGAACTTTCCCTCAAGGTTTTTAAAACGCGTCTGCTAGGGAGAGGTTTCTACATCCTTATAAAGGGTGCTTCGTTCTCCTCCCCAACCAATGTGGGATCTCACATTAGGCATTTTATCACATGCACACAACTACACAAAGAAATGCTAATCAAACCTCAGTCACCTTCATACCGGTAACAAACATATTATATATGGATAAAAAGATTCAAAGTAAGTAATCGAATACTCCTCTTACAAGAAGATTGTGGCACACTTTTCTATAGAGGAAGACTAGCAATCAATTAAAAGCTGTTAGTATAACTATAAATTATAGATGGTATCCAACCTTTTCAAGGGAATATCTGATCCTAACTTCTGGATTGGGAGATGTCTTCTTCTTTTTCGCCTTAAGACGATAGAGTCTGAGTTCATTCAATTTGGCCTTCTTAGACAATTTGGCTTTTGCCACCTTCTTTTGTTTCCGTGGGGAACCGTTAGTACTAGAAGACCCACCAAAAGAAAACCTGACAATATTGCTATCTGTCTTCAGCTCCACAGCCCCATTGCTAAAATGCCTAACAGATTGCCATTTTTCAAACCCACCAAGGCTCTCACACATACTATATCGCTTAGTGAAAAAGAAGCCAGGCGGATAGCGTATAGACGTCGATTCCTGGAGAGACTTTGATATACAATTACTTATTTGATGCTCACAACTTTCATATGAGGACTGCCCAAATGATGTGGGTATGTTGAATAAAGATAGACGTGAAACATTTCTAATCAGAGAAATGAATCCATACAATGAATCCCTGCATAAATATCACACCATAATCATCCAATTCCATATATCTCCGAAGGAAAATCTCATAGACAACCTGAAATCTTCCTTAAATGATGTCCTATTATAATGCTAAATAATGAGTACAACAGATTTCAACAAACAGAGACCCTCTGTTATGAGATGAACTAATATATTTCACTAGGGCTAAGTTGATAAGCATGAAATGTATTCGATTCCATAACTTTTGAATGAAACCCATGAGATTTACAGAGATGGAGAGAGTACCTTGAAATGGCAATGGATAGAGCATGACCGCGAGACATGGTCCTAAATCAATCAATCAATCAATCCCTAGCAGATTGTTCGTTCAATGCAGAAATAAGATGAAAGGGGGGGAATCCAATACAACCCCAGAGTTGAAAATGGCTGGACTGGTTCATCATCAACAATTTGCTAGCTTTGGGGGAATTGAGGATTCAGGGAAAATCTGCTAAACTGGCAAATTTGCGATCTAAGGTGAAATTGTGCCTTTCTAGCGCTCAAATTATGGAAAATTTTGAGAAATTCACCCAAGTATTTTTGCCCTAATCAAATTTGACCTAGTTTCTTAAAAAAAATATATTTTTATCCTAAAAAAATATTATTCAATTCATTTAATCATGACCATACGGAGTCACTTGTCTAGCTTAAACTTTACATGAGTTGAAATCCAAGTCAACTTATATGAGTTCACTATATAGGATTAGGACTCATTAATCGACCTAATCTACCTAACATTTGTAATTATACCTCTAATTTTTCTTATAATATTTAATTTGGCCAAAAAAATGGACATACTCATTTCAGACGGTAAAAAAAAGGTTCAAGCTTGAAAAATGGGGTAAAAATTGAGATCCGAGTAGAGTTGCTGGAGAGCCACTAGGAAGCTGTGTGGGAAGTCGACAAAGAGATGCTCGAGAGAAGTCGGTCAACGTTGAGTTAGCGGGGTCAGTTCGAGCAATATTAGATTTGAGTTATGAGTCACGTATGAGTTTGGACTATCTATATTAATTTATGGGTCGTGTATTTTTTTTTCTTCGTTATTAATTCAAATGAATCTATAATTATTAGAAAAATTCCAAAGAAAGAGATATTCGTTGACACTTCTCTTGGCCTCGATTTCAATGAAGCTTGCTCACATCACTCTACTTGTTACTTGTCTTGTTCCATTAAGGGATCGTGATTCCAAAGACTTACATACGTATTCATACTCAACTTTTAGCAAAATGGTGCATGTATTCACTTCCCATTCCTAAACTAATTTAAGAACCACTCTAGAAAAACGAAGAACCAATTTTTCAATAATAAAATGAGAATAAATACATGTCTCGTTTTGATCCTTCACACGTTTAACCTAATAAATGCTTTATCGATTCATAAATTTTATTCTCTACAAGGACGTTGAATGAAATTAGTAAGTCTAAAGTTATTTAATCTATGGATAATTTGGATTTGGGTCGTTGAGTTGTTTAGTCAAAGTTAAGAAAATCGGTATTCAAAGTGCACAATTTTTTAGTCAAGATTTGAATGTCTGTGTTCGAGGTACAAAGTTGTTTAATATGAAGTTCTTAAGTTTGTTTCCCGCTCAGTGCTATTTTTTTAGTTATACTATACGATGAATAGACATAACCATTACACGAAGATATAATTTGAAGAGAAGAAATAAATTATATGACATAAATCGTAAAAGTGTAACAACCTAAAAACAAAACGATTTTTATAAAGAGCATATAATGTCCGTCATGGGTCGACATTGTAACTCAAAATTTTAAGTTCTTGTTCAACGAAGTTTTTCTTCTACTTATCATTATTTCTACCGACCAATTTTTTTTTTTATCTGTCATTATAGGGCGATTTATTTGTATGTGATTCTCATTACATTTTAGTGCTTGTTTTTCTGAATTTTGATAACGATTTGTTGATGATTGATTGGAAAAGGAGTCTATATTGACAAATTAAGGGGAAGATTACAATTTACAAGTGAGAAATACTATCGATATTGGCATGACCTTTTGGGGAACTAAAAGCAAAAACACGAGAGTTTATGCTTAAAGTGGACAATATCATACTATTGTGGAGGTTCGTGATTCCTAAAATGGTATCAGAACCATACTCTAACTGAGTCATGTCAATAGAATTCTCAAATGTCGAACAAAAGGTGTATTTTGTTCGATGGCTTCAGAGAAGGAGTCGAGTCTTGACTAATGGAGGCTGTTTAAGGGCTCCATAGGCATTAAGGGAGGCTCTATGATGTATTTTGTTTGAGAGGAGGATTGTCAAGGATTGTTGGGAGAGGAGTCCCACGTTGTGGAGTTTTGTAATTCCTAACATGGTTTACCATTGAAATTATATTAACCATTCGATGACGTTGTAACTATTGAACACAACTCCTGATGGAAAACACTAGCACTGTTTGTTAACATCAATCGAGAAGAGATTACAAAACACTCTGTAGAATGTTACTAACACTTCGTTTTACTTGAGACTGTTTGAGATTTCTTATGATGAAAACCTTAATAAACTGGACGAGTATTTATGGAAGAGACTAGAGAATTTATTTCTAAAATATCTTAATCATTTTCCTAAATTAGGTAATTGATTCGTACAATTATTATGCTTGGCCTAGTGATGATATTTTAACAAATAATGCGTTATCTTATATAAGAATACAAAAGTTTGTGTCAGTTTTCTAAAACCGACATCGGAAAGGTCATCCATTCTCGTTTATAAAATGTCACATCTAATACCCAAATTGTTTCAGTGATCGACTCTTTTAACTATGACGTTTTGAATTAATTTAGTATCTTTAAAACTAAAACAAAATATAAACTAGAGACACACATAATAATAATGCATGATGCATTATTTGACTGAACAACGTTAAAAAAGACAATTTTGCCTGGCTGTAACACAATGGATGCCCAACCAATTTTGCTTACTCCATTTCTCGTCTTCCTCTCTATAAATAACTTCTAAATTTCACTAAGATTTGTATACCAAAACAAATAAACCACTCTATTGTTTGAATGGCGAAAGTTTGTTTCATCTTGGTTGTAACTACGGTGGTGGTGCTTGGCTTGGCCGCCTCGACCGTGCACGGTCAAGGCACACGGCTCGGGTTCTATCATGCCAAGTGCCCGAACGCTGAATCCATCGTTAGATCCACCGTCCAATCCCATTTCATGAAGGATCCCACTATCTCTCCTGGGTTATTGAGAATGCACTCCCATGACTGCTTTGTTCGAGGGTGTGATGCTTCTGTGCTTCTTGATGGTCCTGATTCCGAGAGGACGGCTGTGCCTAACCTTACTTTGAAAGGGTTTGAGGTCATTGACGATGCCAAGTTGCAACTTGAAGATGCTTGCCCTGGTGTCGTGTCGTGTGCTGATATTCTTGCTCTTGCTGCTCGTGACTCCGTTGTTCTGGTAGATATTATTGAATAGTTTCTTATTTTATTGGTACCTTATCGAAAGTCTTATTCATAATAAAGATATCAAGATTTCAATTTTAGAGAAATATATAGGAATATTCATACAAAAATCTTCACCCGATTAGCTAGTTAGGGTTGTCTAACTTCGAACCTCGATTAGCTAGTTAGAATTTCGTGTATTTTTGCCTACAATAGCGTTTCTCGTATACTACTGTATCCATTATTTCTTGTAGTGTTGTTAGGGTTGTCTGACCTCGAGTGTTATATGTGTCAATTTCATTCGTTCTTAAACGTAGACGGGTGGATTAAGATGGGAAGTTCCGACCGGACGACGAGATGGCAGAATTTCATTGGTTTCAGAAGTGAACTTGCCAAGTTTTTCCGATTCCATTGAAGTTCAAAAAGAGAAATTTAGGGTAGTGGGTCTCAACACTCATGACCTCGTCACTCTTGTAGGTAAGACATGATAAGATTTTGTTGTCATTTTTTTTAACTAAAAACTAAATCGTTATCGAACGGTGTATAGGATCCCATACGATCGGAACTGCATCATGTCGTTTTTTCAGTTATAGACTCTACAACTTCACGACCACCACCGAAAGTGGCGCCGATCCTACCATTAACCCATCGCTTGTCGGTCGGCTACGAGAACTTTGCCCTGAAGACGGAGATGGCTCAAATAGAGTCGAGCTCGACATTGGTAGTCCCGAAAAGTTCGACCTGTCGTTCTACTCAAACTTGAGGCGTGGGGGTGGGATATTAGAGTCCGATCAGAAGCTGTGGAACGATGACTCTACTCGGCCGACCGTCCGACACTACTTGGGTTCGAGGATTCTAAGGGGACGTTCCAACTTTAGAGTTGAGTTTGGGAAATCAATGGTGAAAATGAGCAACATTGACGTTAAAACTGGCATTGAGGGTGAAATCCGAAGGGTTTGCTCCGAGGTTAATTGACGTGTTTAAGGTTTCAATATTCCATGTGTTTTTTCAGTTTAATCAGTTGTGTCGGAGTTTGTTATAAAGTTTTTAATCTCTTATGTTTCATGTGTTAGTGTAACGACCCGATTTTTCTTTTAAAAACAAGGTGGTTGCTGCATGAATAGTATTGACTAATGTGTACCGAAAACATTATTTTAAAACATTTCATAAAAAGTTTCATGGACTTAACATTAAAAATAAATATCTTGATATAATGTTGTCATAAAATAGAGAGGCAGAATATAAATGACATGATTTTAAATAAAATAAAACAAGTCCTAACCTAACCTAAGGGCTATGAAACAAACATGTACACAGTTATCCTAACTTGGTTCCATGACCTTCGTTGCAACGTGTCATTTGTATAGAGGTGTCTTACCTTTACTTGAAAAATAAGAGTTGCACGTGGCTCGAGTATTTCTTCAAATATTCAATCATTAACCTTACTGTTGGGATCAAGAAATGCAATCCCGTGCAATATGATTGAGCCTATCATTTTAAAAATATTATGGCTAGGTCATAGGCGACGCTTTTTAGTTGTTATGAAACTATTGAGATTTGATCTAAAAATCTTGTTGAAGCACAAAATGTTTAGATTAAATTATCCAAGAATCTTAAAAATTGTAACGACTCTAGATTTGTACTAAACATTTAAAACTTCATCATAAAACACTGTCAGACTTAAATGTTCAAAAACATTTTTAAAACAACACAAGGAAATACCGAATAAAACAAATAAAACATTAAAAGTAAAAATACCCTATATAACCTAAGTCTAAGAAAATAAAATATCACTATCCTATGCACGTGTCATGGTCTCTATTTGTGATGTCGTCGTCAGCTGTAAAGGTGTCTTGCCTTTACTCAAATAGAAGTAATACACGACTTGAGTATTTTAATAAATATTCAGTAAGTGACCCTATTATTGAGGTCAGGGAATGCAAACACAACAACTAATGACTAGCGACCTACCGTTAAAATCATCATAGGGGTGACCTCCAGTCCGGACAAAATTGTATGCATAGTATTTTCCTACACACGACCCACACGTGCGAGTATGTATGGTATCATAGTCTCATTCTTAACATGGTATCAGAGTCATCATTCTTAACATGGTAGCAGAGCTTCTTATTCTTAACATAGTATCAGTGCCTCATTCTTAACATGGCATTAGAGCTTCTTATTCTTAACTTGGTATCAGAGTCATCATTCTTAACATGGTATCAGAGCTTTTTATTCTTAACATGGTATCAGAGCCTCATTCTTAACATGGTATCAAAGCCATCATTCTTAACATGACATTAGAGCTTCTTATCCTTAAAATGGTATCAGAGCCATCATTCTTAATATGGTATAAGAGTCATCATTCTTAACATGGTATCAGAGCTTCTTATTCTTAACATGGTATCAGAGCTATCATTCTTAGTATTATATAATCATTTTGATTTCAAATCGTCAAAAAATCTAAATCGAAGAACGCGCGTAAATTAGTTCGTTAATTCTAGAGGCTTACCCATTGTTTTGCATAGATTCTATGTATACACAATTATATTTGAAAAAAGGTTGTATGCAAGTTGCTGTTATAAAAAGTTATATTCTATTACACAAGTCAATAACAGGAAGAACAAATAGAATCCAAAAGCTAAGACCTTCCCCAGATGCTAAACCCCTAGCTACTTATCTTTGCCACTTGAGTAATTTTTAAGTACCCCATAACCCTAAATTAAGTAAAAAGGACAAAAGGTACCAAGTTGTAGTGTATTTTTCATGCATTGGGTTCCTCTTCTTTCCCTATAAATACTTGTATCGACTCGATTTCTTCATCAACTAAAGAACCCGACTATCCCATTTCTCGTTCATTGTCATTCTTAATGGGGAAACGAATTCATTTCATCCCAATTCTTGTTTTAATTGCTTTCGTGTCGTTAGTTGGCTCAATGGCTGCAACCGTAGTTTCGAGCCGAGGTACTCGTGTTGGGTTCTACTCGACGACATGCCCACAAGTAGAGGCTATTGTTAGGGCAACTGTAAAGTCTCATTTTCGATTAGATTCAACCGTGGCTCCTGGGTTATTGAGAATGCACTTCCATGACTGCTTTGTACGAGGATGTGATGCTTCTGTGCTCCTTGTCGGTCCAAGCACGGAGAGAACAGCACTGCCCAACCTCTCTTTGAATGGATTTACGGTCATCAATGACGTCAAATCTCGCCTTGAACGTGCTTGTCCTGGCGTTGTCTCTTGTGCTGATATTCTTGCCCTAGCTGCTCGTGACTCGGTGGTTTTGGTAAGAGCAATCGTAAGGTTATTTTGTGCAACTTTTTGGCGTTACAACTTAGCTTTTGGTATTGTAATTGTAGACAAAAGGAGTGAGTTGGGCAGTGCCGACAGGACGTAGAGATGGAAGGGTTTCGTTGGCTTTGGAGGCTAACAATGCTCTACCTAATGTCAATGACACCATTCAAACTCAGAGGAAGTTATTCAAGAGCAAAGGTCTCAATATTCAAGATCTTGTCACTCTAGTTGGTAAGGATTAATCTTCAATATATATATAAACATATATATATATATATTTATTTATTTAATTTTATAATTATTTTTTATTATTTACTCACTTTTCTTCCAAATTATCCATACCAACCCGAGAATATAATTCAACCAATCAAAATGGCACTTGTAAATTTTAAAATCGAGAACAATGACTAGTATATTCGAACCCGAGAATAGTTTGGTTGGTTCGATATAGAAGTGTTCATATAATTAAAAACTCTGACCAACTCATACTACCGAATCTGATATAGATTTTTTTTTAATGTTTTTATATGGGTTTGGTTGAATATTTTGAAAACTGAAAATTTGATTCGTTTGGAGAGTTTTTATTTATTTTTATCGGGTCAACTCGGCCAATGTGAAAATAAAGTTACAATCTAATCCTATTTAAGAATATTTGACGTTTCTGATCCATGCTAGTGATGTATCGTGATTTGTTAATATATTTATGAAATTTTAGTTATTAATGATAAATAAATAGGTGCACATACGATTGGAACCACAGCATGTAGCGTTTTCAAATATAGGCTCTACAATTTCAGCACCACGACAAGGAGTGGTGCAGATCCAGCCATGAACCCATCCTTTGTTCATCAGCTACGAACACTTTGCCCCAAAAATGGTGAAGGCTCACCCAATGTTGGATTGGACATAAGCACCCCCAACCAATTTGACACATCTTTCTTCTCAAACTTGAGGAATGGGCGTGGGGTCTTGGAGTCTGATCAGAAGCTGTGGAACGATCCCTCGACTCGGGCTTTTGTTCGACGTTTCTTGCTCAAAGGTTCGTTGGGTTTGAACTTTGACCTCGAGTTCGGGAAATCTATGGTTAAGATGAGCAACATTCATGTGAAAACCGGAACTCGAGGTGAAATTCGGAAGATTTGCACTATGGTTAACTAGTATAGATTTGTAAATTAAGGCCTTTTTTTTCTTTTTTACTCGAATAAAGATAGGTAGTGGAGTTCTTATGATTGAGCTATTGAAAAAGAGATACTTGCTGTTATTTTTAAATTTTTTAAATTTTTCTTAATCTATCGTATTCTCAAATCTTTTTTATCTAGTCATTTGGCCATGTTTAGAAGGATGTGGAGTAGGTTTAGTTGGCCACTTTGACCGTGTATAATTGTTATTTCAATATGTCAATCTAATCAGAAACAAATCACAGTGTTTTTCAGCAACATCAAATCCCAAAGCTTTCGTTCTCTTTTCCTTTGACTATTTCTCCTCCTTAAAACGGAGCAATCCCTAAACATAGTCATGTCAATAACGTTCTCAAATGTCGAACAGAGTACTCCAAAAGAAAAAGGAGTCAAGACTCAAGGCATAGTAAATAATGATTAAAACTCCAAAAGAAAAAGGAGTCGAGCCTCGAATAAGGGGAGACGTACTTTATTTGATGGGAGGTGTTGGATGAAAGTCTCATATCGACTAATTTAGAGAATGATTATGGGTTTATAATAAAACAATACTATTTCTTGGTACGAAGCCTCTTGTGGAAGCACAAAACAAAACCATGAGAGCTTATATTTAAAAAGAACAATATTACGTGAGAGTTCGGTGTGTTTCTAACAACGTTGTATATTAATGGAAGTATACATTATCCATTTCATTGCAATTATGCAAGAAATTAAAGTACAAAAACCACTTTTGTTTAGTTAACTACAGAACAAACTTTACGAATCTCTCCCTGAGTTCCAGTTTTAACTTCAATGTTACCCATCTTAACCATGGATTTCCCAAACTCAGCGTTGAAGGTCAAACCCAACAGCCCTCTCAAACCCAGAAAGCGTTGTACCAAAGTGCGAGTGGAGGCATCGGTCCATAGCTTTTGATCGGACTCCAAGATCCCACGTCCATTCCTTAAGTTTGAGAAGAAGGATGTGTCGAACCTGTTGGGGCTGCCGTTGTCCAACCCAACCCTGCGGCTGCCGTCGCCGTTCTGGGGGCAAAGGGCTTGCAATTGGCTCACGAATGCTGGGTTGATGCTTGAATCTGGACCATTTGAAGTGAAGTTGAAGAGCCTGTAGCTGAAAAACTGGCATTGTGTGGTGCCAATTGTGTGTCCACCTGCTCCAAATAAGGGGTTTTGAGTAATGTTTGTGATGAAGAATTGCAATATTTTGAGATCATTCCAGCTCATGAGCAATCAAGATGTCAAAATGTAAAGGAAAAGTTGTCTTGTGACAAATGTTTTTTTTTGTTTGACTTGTATAACAAGTTTTTGAAAATTTTGAAATTTGTCCACTTTTCTAGGTTTTTGAATTTTTAAATTTTGTTTGTTTAATCAAGTTTGTTGTGAGATCCCACATTGATTGTGGGGAGTAGAACGAAACATTGTTTACAAGGGTGTGGAAACCTATATTATTAGACAGGTTTTAAAAAACTTGAGAGGAAGTTTGATGAAAGGAAAAGTTGGAAGAGGACAATATTTGCTAATGGTGGGTTTGAGTTGTTACAAATGGTACCAGAGTCAGACACCGAGCGATGTGCCAGCAAGGAAGTTGAGCCTCAAAGGTGGTGAGCACGAGGTGGATTTGGGGGTCTCACATCGATTTTAGAAGAGAAAACGTTGGGCCCCGAAAGGGGGTGGATTATGAGATTCCACATCGTTTGAGGAGAAGAACAAAACATTAGGAGGTAGAAACCTCTCCCTATGGGCCCTAAAAGGTGGTGGATTGTGAGATCCCATGTAAGTTAAGAGGAGAACAAAATATTTTAAGGAAACATTTTCTTATAAGGGTGTGGGAACCTCTCTCTAGCAGACGCGTTTTAAAAACTTTGAGTCCCGAAACAATATTATTTATAATGGTGTGGAGACCCGCGTTTTAAAAACCTTGAGAAAAATCGAAAGGAAACATTTTTTATAAGAGTGTGAAAACCTCTCCCTCGGAAACAGAGTTTTAAAAACCTGAAGTACCTAAAAAACACGGCTTAAAAGAGACAATATCTACTGGTTGTGGGGTTAGACGGATACCTTTATGATTTTTATATACTTATATTGGTCAAACCCACTCGAGTTTTAGGGATTAAACTTGCTTGTTTAATGTAATAACAAAGATATATCTATATGGTCTTACCCACGAGAGTCACAAGATCTTGAGTGTTGAGACCCTTATCGCTGAATTTCTTCTTTTGAACATCAATGGAGTCAGTAAATCCAGGTAAATCGTTAGCTTCTGACGCCACTGAAACCGTGCCATCCCTTCGTCCTGTGGGCACACCCCAACGCAATCCACTCGTCTACATCCAAACAAATAAAGCTATCAATAAAATGACCTCACCCACACATGCAAACCAATCATTTTATCAAAATCAGATACATGGGTCCTACCATAACTACGGAGTCACGAGCCGCAAGTGCAAGAATATCCGCACAAGATACAATGCCAGGACAAGCAGCTTCGAGCTGCGTCTTGGCATCGTCAATCACCTCAAACCCTTTTAACGAAAGGTTTGGAGGCGAAGTCCTCTCACTATTAGAGCCAGATAGGAGTACAGAGGCATCACAACCTCGAACAAAACAGTCATGGAAATGCATTCTCAACAAACCAGGTGCGATCGATGGGTCGGATTGGAAATGAGATCGGACAGTAGATGCAACGATGGACTCGGCTTGAGGGCAAGAGTTGGAGTAGAAACCTAAGCGAGTGCCTTGGCCATGCACGACCGGGGTCGTGAAGGTGAGTAGCACCACCGCTATCGAGATAGCGAGAACGAGCATTGGACTATAACCCGATTTCGCCATTGGATAAGAGAAGAGAATGAGAGGTTTGTTTGTGATGAAGTTTGCATGGAAATGAGAAGCTTTTTATAGAGTGATGGAAGATTGAAGAGTCAAAAGTGGAGTAAGCAAAGCCGGCTTGAGAGGGTGATGGGCTACAGCGATGCAACGTTGTCGTTTTGAGGGATTGTTGAATTAGTCAAACATATGGATTATTATAATTCCGCGTGGGACAGCACATAACTGGGAAGTAACTAATGTTTTCAACACGAAGACTGAATCAGCCATTGTGTTGGGAAAGTGACAAACGACATGTCGGATTTCCACATCATGGTTAATGGTTTTCTTGTTTAGTACCCAAAATCATCACTTAAAATCATATTATCTCCTCAATTTCTTATGGAATCCAGCTAAGGAAGAAGTGTTGGGGTGGCTATCCACAAACATTTTAGCCCTTTAGGGTTTAGTTTAAACAAACTAAAAAGATAACCGTATGTTCGGATCTATAACATCCCGACCTCATCGTTACTAGATAATGTTTTCTTTAGCCTTTCCCTTTTGCATTTTCTCTCAAGGATTTTGAAACGTGTATGTTAGGGAGAGGTTTCTACACTCTTATAAACAATGATTCGTTCTCCTCTCCAACTGATGTGTGATCTCACAATTTACCCCCTTCAGGACCCAGCATACTCACTAACACTCATTCACCTCTCCTTTCGATATGGGTTCTTACAGAATCGGTAATGGAGAAATTATTTGATGAAACTACTACGATATCACTGATGGTTTTTTATTATTTGATTATTAGGACATTACGAGATACGTATTTTTAAATTTGCATCTAATAATTTTATGAGGCAAGCATATTATAGTTGCTTGTTTGAATAATTTGTCCAAAAAATAAGCAGTTGGACCGTATCACAATTGCACTTTGTCTAAATTTGTAGCACGATTTTGCAACATTTACTCTTACCCTTGAATAAATCAGCCAACTAAAAAGTTAGTCGTCGTCAGCACAGGTGATGTATCCTCATATCTTCGACCCTACCCTGCTACTGAAAAAGGGTTTTAAAAAATAGAGTTAGAGAAAGTTATAAAAAATATTTGGAAATCGATTTGAGGAAGCAAGCATTCCTTTATAGTACATTTTTAGACAAATTAGCTTTGACAAACCTAGGTCTGATTTTGACGAAACAGCACACCCTGAACAAACATGATTGGAGCACGAGGCATGAAAGAAAAGAAGAAATTTTGACTTTACCAAGTTGTTGATGAGTCAGTTCGGCTCTCTTTTGAGATATTTAAAATTGTCTATTTTCGGGATCCTTCCATACTTTATTGAATTTCATCCATAGTTAGGTAACGAGGGTTTATTTTATATAATGATTATCATATTCTCTAATTAAAAATTATTCAACGAGGTTTCCACGTTAAATTTTTTTATTGATACAAAAAGATAATATAATTAAAGTTAATTTTTTTTTTAGGTTAAATTAATAAAAATAAATATATATTTGTCTGTAAAGTTTCAATAATATTTTTAAAATTTTAAACGGTAAATATTTTGTTTTAAAAATATTCTTTTTAATTTTTAAAAGGCTTAAAAAAATATAAAGTTTTAAAAAATTTATTAATATAGTTAATTTTTTTTTATATAGATTTTTAAAACACAGACAATTTTCGTCCATTTTTCAAAATTCTCAAACATAGGAGTGGCCGTGAAGATCTTTTTTATTTTTTAATTTTTATAAATTTGAAGGGTAATAATAAAATTTTAAAAGTTCGTATTTTTAAAACACTTTTAAAAATTTAAAATATTTTTAAAACAAACTATTAACGGTTTCTATTAAAAAAAATAACGTTTTTTAAAGTTGTATTATTAAAACTTTTGAAAGTGGAAAAGTTTTTGATTTTTTATTAATTTAGTTTTTCAAATATTATTAATTTTAAAAAAAAACTTAGAAATTAAGAATTAGAAAAAAATAATTATATATATATATAATACATGTTTGGCTCGAGGTTAAGTTTGTATAACTCAAAACTATAAAGTCGAGCCTATATTTGGTACATAATTATGTCTTTTTCGGTGGATTTGTCTTGTTCCTGTTTAGTCTCTTTCGTTTCGGGAGTGGTTTATATTTCTACATCTGTTTCTTCCTTGCTTTCCCTCTTCCTTCGTTTCTTTCGGTTTCTTTTAGACGATCGTAAATTAGGGTAAATCACGAATGATAATTTCTATTTAAAAATAAATATGATAATGTGAATGCATTTTTTAAATTTAGATCAAAAAGTGGAATTAATGGATTTTGCACATTTGCAATAGCTAAAAGATTCCAAAATCCATTCGCTTTTGTTGACTTCATTTAGTGTTGACTTTAGTAAACGAATTATTAAAAATAAATTATATTTTTTTTCTTAATAAAAATACATTTTAATTCTTATTTTTCTTTGATGGTAAAAGAGTCAAAGCCGCCTTTTGTCGTTTTGCTAGTTGGACAATCGTTTCCTTTGAATATTAAAAAGCTATTTACTCACGATTTTGTTTTTGTTTTTTTAATTTATAAAATTATTGTTTTACCAAAGTAGATTAAAAGTCAATAAAACTAAAAAAAAAATTATTTTATTTTTAAGAATCCATAAAGTTAAATAAAAAACGAAGAAAAATAGTGTTTATAAATATAATTTTTAAAAACTAAATAATTACTTAACGAACATTTATAAAATTATTTTAAAAAAATTGATTATCTCTTAAATATTTATCCAAATATCTTTTTTGAAAATGTTTTTACCATGAATTTCTTACTAAATTTAAAATACCATCAAAATCTCCCAGCTAACCATTTTAAAAACTTTGAGAGGAAACTCAAAAGAAAAGGTTCAAATAAGACAATATATGTTAGCGGTGGGCTTGTACGGTTACAAAGGATATCATATCTAGACATCGAATGATGTACCAACGAGGAAGCTGAGTCTCGAAGGGAGTGGACAAGAGTCAGTGTGCTAGGAAGAACGCTAGCCCCAAAGACGGGTGGATTAGGGGTCCCACATCGATTGGAGAAGGGAACGAGTGCCAGCAAGACACTGAGTCCCAAAGGGGGTGGATTTCGAGATTTCACATCGATTGGGGAGGAGAACAAAATACCCTTTATAAGGGTGTGGAAACCTCTCCCAGTTGGGGAGGAGAATGAAATACTCTTTATAAAGATGTGAAAATCTCTCCTTAATAGACGCGTTTTAAAAATATTGAAGGGAAGCCCGAAAGGGAAAGTTCAAAGAGGACAATATATGTTAGTGGTGGACTTGGGCCGTTATAAATGATATCAGATCCAAACACCGAACGATGTTCCAGCAAGGAGGTTGAGTCCCGAAGGGGGTGGACAAGAGATGGAGTGCCTGGAGAAGGGAATAAGTGCCAGCAGGACACTGAGTCCCGAAAGAGGTGGATTGTGAGATCCCAAATCAGTTGGGGAGGAGAACGAAATACCCTTTAGAAGGGTGTGGAAGGAAAAGCTCGAAAGAAAATCCTAAACAAGATAATATATGCTAGCGGTGGTCCATTACACGTCTCTTTTAGCCCATAATGCATCGGAATATTCTTCCACCAAAGCTTTACAACTTTGAAAATTTTGCAAAAGATCAACATCAAGTAAGCCTAGTGGAGCATACCAACTACTAAATATACACACACAATAATTAATTAATCAATGAATGAATTAATTAAATAATAAATCCAAAAATACCTAATTATGGCTTCTGGAAGCTGAATAAAACAAAGTAAAAATACAAAGCATTCTCATTTTGGTGCAGCAGATTAAATTATTTTTTTATTAATTTGCTACTTTATTTTGTTTAAATACTCTTTTATTTTTTCCACCGACCATGGGCGGTTCAAGATAAAATAGTGCCCCGAGCCCTACTTTATATTTAAATTAAATTATAAATTTAGTTGTTTTTTTAGTATTTTTTTTTTAAATTTTATTAATTATTTTTATTTTTTAGGACGAAATTGAAAATTTTAAAATTATAGGAATCAAATTGAAACTCACCGTATATGTTAATTTAAAACTTTAAAAACCATAAAAAATCACTCAGTATTATTGAACCAGACAAAACAACAAGCAATAAAACCAAAAATGGATAAAGCACCTAAACTATAAGACAAGTAAGCTTCTCCAGACCATACAAGTGCGCGGCGAGCCCATGCAAACGGTTTAGTTAAGATATGCCAAATTCCACCAAGTATACAAATGGAACCTAACCATACATGCCCCCCAACTATATCTTCCAAATCGTCCACACTAACAATCCATCCTTCTCCCCCAAAAGGAGATTTTAGTAAATAACCAAATATAACACTTGGGCTAAGGGTCAAGTTGGTAATTTTTCTCCCCCCCGGAGTCCAGGTATCATATAGAAAAGCACCTATACGTAACAAAATTAAGTGAATACCCAAAATGGTAGTCATTTTATTTCTATCTTTCCACACATAACCGAAGAATGGAAAAGATTCTTCAAGGGTCTCGGGTCCCAGAAGTGCATGATAAATACCGCCAAAACCCAATACTGCGGAGGAAATTAAGTGAAGTACTCCAGACACAAAGTACGGAAAGGTGTAGTAAAGGAGGAGAACATAAATGAACTAGGATCACATTTGAATGATGACCATCGAGAAGATATGAGGCTAAAAAAGGCTTAAAGTGGCTCAACTACAAGAATTTTATGGTTAAATGTATTTTGATTAGAGCAATTCTATGTTGAGTTACTTCTTGAAAATATATTAGAATGACTCAGTGTTAACGTGTAGGTATAGTAGCGAAGACTAAATAATGAATTTTGAAAAGTTTGAAATTTATTTGTAACACAAATTATTATTTATTATTATAATTTATAATGGTTTGATGGTGAATCATAAATGATTGAGTTTGGTATTGAACTCAGGAAAAGAGTTTTGTAGCCGTTGGTCTCTAATATGAAAAAAGTCAAGAAAGTTCTTTATTCAAATTAACAAGGTGGTTTGAAAATGGGGTAGGACTACTACAAAACTAAAGTATTAT